GGGGAAAGTCGAGGACCCGAGCGCGCACGGGACACAGCAGCTCATAGAATCACTAGGAACAACCCTATCACTAGGACACAGAAGCAAAGGACCAACACAGTGCATCATCGGAACACAAGACTTCAGCAAAGATTTCGGGAACAAAAAATTCAGGAAATGGCTGACGAGCGACTTCTCACATACAGGTCGAGTTCACAAAATCGACAGGCGGAATCTTCAAGACAGTCACAGCGCAATATTGCTGCAAGAGTACAACTTTCGGAGGATGAACGAGAGGTTCAACGGGAACGCCAGCGACGGAGGAGTCGAGCTACGGCAAGGGAACAATATCTTCGTAACGGATCAACTAAGTGTTATACGTGCTGTGGATGAACGTGGTTTCCATCTCAGGTAAGTGGCTTGAACATCTGTACTATTTCAATAGACAATGACTTTTATTTAAGTAGAAAGTTTCCGAGTCTGTCCGGCAAATATCAATTTTGCAGTACATGTCGTCAAGGCGTTTCCAAAGGTAGGATACCATCCCTTTGTCTCTCTAATGGCTTCGACTTTCCAGAGATACCTGAATGCCTTAAAAACTTGACATGTCTTGGGGAGCGCCTTATTTCCTTTCCTTCCCAACTATTTCTTGCGGCGAAATATTTAAGGGAAATTCGACCTATGCAAAAAAAGCAAGATCGCAAATTCGCGTTTACGACCGTCGTTGCGCAGTAGTACCCAAAGTCCTTTATATGTACAAATTTTATGAAATGCAACGAATTCAAAGCTCTATTTCCATTGCCATGATTAGACAATTTGGGTTGCCTACATTCTTCATAACCCTTTCTGCTGCTGAATCTAAATGGAACGAACACTTAGTTATTTTATCTCTTTTATTGGATAGCAGAGACATTACTGAGGAAGAGGCACCAGCTCTTTCTAGCGCCGAAAAAGCTAGATCAATTCGATCTGACCCAGTAACGAGATATTTGGTGAGTTAAGACTCGTCCTTTATTATTGGAGGATCGAGTTCCAGCACAGAGGATCGCTGCAGTCTCATGGCATGTATTGGTGTTCTGGTGCCCCAAAGCTAGAAGAAGCCGATAACGCCGAAAGGGTCACCCGCTTTATTGACCTTTTCATTATTACCAGCGGGGACGATCCTGAAATTCATGAAGTAATTCAATATCAGCGCCATAAGCACAGCGCTTCATGTTTAAGGGAACTGCGAGAACAACAATTCTGCCGTTTTAATATGCCATACCCACCAATTCCTGAAACTCTGGTTTTGTATCCATTTGAAGAAAACGAATCCAACGTTGATGAATATAAAGAAATATTTAAAAAAGTTAAAGAGCTCCTAAAGTCTGTTTCCGAAAAAGAATCGGCCATGTTTAATAGCTTTGAATATTTTCTCAGCCATCTTGAAATTTCATATGAGGAGTACAAGTTCGCCATTCGGTCTAGCTTAAAAAAGCCCCAAGTATTTCTTCGTCGCCAATTTTCTGGTAGGTTGCTTAATGCTTATAATATAAATATTTTAGGCTTGCATAGAGCAAACATGGATATTTAATTCATTCTATATGCTTATGCTTGTTGTAGTTATACACAAATAAATCCAACCGTGGCGTGTCGCAACTGCTTCGCAAGCAATGACAGAAATAAACCTTGGAAGTGTTTCCGTCAAAAGAAAATTGCAGCATTTAGGGAGCAAGTTTATTAACGCTATAGAAATATCTGCCCAAGAAGCTGCATACAACATTTTAGGTTTACACTTGTCTGAGGCTAGTGAAGGGAATGTTTTTATTAACACTTGCTATTCAGATAAAAGGGTCCAGATAGTCCGATCTAACAGAGAATTAGAACAGCTTCCCGCAAACTCAACAGATATTTTTGAGCGAAATTTACTTGATCGATACGTGCAAAGATATGAACAACTTGCGGAATTTGCGGCTTGGTTCAAATTTTCAGTCAAACGAAGAATATGTCGAAACAACCGACTTTGATGCAGATGAAGAAAATAACGTTGCTGCATAAAGTTACCAAATGCTGGATGGGACTGGTAGGGTAAATAGACGTAATCATGCCCTAATTCTTAGGTTGGTTCGCTTCAGTTTAAGCTATTCTCCTTCAGATTATTTTAGAGATCACGTAATGCTCATTTTCCCATGGAGAAGTGAAGAGACGGAACTCATTTCAAACGACAATGAAAGTACATTTAGAAATAATTTTGAAATTATTAAACGCAATAAAGAGCAGTATGATGTGTTTGACGACATGAAGTTAGAGAGACAGAGATCTTCAAGATCTACAAAGTGTGGATAGAGCAAAATACGGCCCTTTCCAAAGGGCTAGCCTCTCAGTACCTTGATGAAGAGTTCAGGGCTTTGGCAGTACCGGACGTCGGCCAAAACGTAAATGTACTCCAAGATGAAAATGATTCAAATGGCGAATTTCCTCTTACAAGACTTATAACCTTTGCTCGCTTACCCGGTCTCTCAACTTTAAGCAACGCCAGTATTACGCCCACGTAATGCATAATGTTCCAGCCAAAAAAAAACATTTTATGAATATGTTGGTGGAGGGACCGGAGTGGGAAAAAGCTGATTGATTTGGTACAATATTTCAGTCTATAAATTGGCGAGCAAATAAACTTCCTGGGGCAACAGTTTCCGCAAAGGTTTTAATTTGTGCTCCTACTGGAAAAGCAGCTTTTGGGATTGGGGGACTAACGCTTCATTCAGTTTTCTCCCTTCCTGTTAATCAAACACTATATATACAATGTATTGCAAGTTGATTGATATCCAATTAATTATTGTAGATGAAATCTCGATGGTCGGATCAAAAATGCTTGGATACTTAGATCAAAGACTTTGTCAAATTTTTAGAAGTCAAGATGTAAGTTTTGGGGGCAAGTCTATAATAGTGGTTGGAGATCTGAAGCAGCTTAGCCCAGTTGGAGATCGTTGCATATTCGCAGAAAATACATCTAATCCCTATAATATTCTGGCAGGAGCTAACCTTTGGAATAACTTTAAGTTTTTCGAGCTAACGGAAATAATGCGGCAACGTGACGACCACGCTTTTGCTTTGGCTTTGAATAATATGTCTGAAGCCAACATGACAAATGCAGATATTGAGCTTTTCAGGACAAGAGTTCTTCCAGTAACCGATGTTCCTGACGATGCAATTCACTGATTCTGTTCTAATGCTGACGTAAACCATTACAACTCTCTAAAACTTGCCCAAACTAGAACTCAAGAATTTGTGTCAACTGCAGTAGATACAATTAAGTCAGCTAATATGTCTGAAAGAAGTCGAGAATCAACTCTTAGGCATGCCCAAAACATGAAGACCTCTGAAACTCAGGGTCTACCATATATTTTACACCTGAAGACTACTGCAAAATACAACACAAATGATGGACTTGTAAATGGGGCAACTGGTCAATTAATGCGAATTGACAACTGTATGGTTAACGGCTCATTATTAGTTACTGGACTGTGGATTAAGTTTACAGATGCCACTGTCGGTACTATAGCTAGGTCAAAAGTTCGAGGAAATGATCACCCAGACTGGAGTCAAATTTATAAAACAGCCCGAGTATTCCAAGGATCTATTGATCAAAAACAATTTCCAGTTCTTCCTGCTGTAGCTATTACCATCCATAAGAGCCAAGGAGCAACCTGCAGCAAAGTCGCAGTGCATCTTAAAAGCGGCATTAAGCGAGCTTTGTTGTGCGTAGGTTGCAGCAGAGCAACTAGCGCATCGGGTCTTTTCCTTTTAGTAGACTTTGTCCCTCCAACTAGACTTGGAGCTACAAATGTCCAAGTAGAACTTGTACGTTTAAGAAAGAAAAAGGCGACAACACCATCTGTCTAAGGCAATAGAAGCGTTCGCAGCGAAGCTCGCCCCGAAGTTCGACGGACCGTATAAAGTGGTCGCTTTCCCTTCGCCTAACGTCGTCCGAATCCGCCTACCCGGCCAGCGGAAGGGGCGACTTGCAAATATTGAAGACTTGAAAGTGTTCCACTTTTCTTCCACAGATAACCCCAATGATGAGAACAGCGACACCGCCAAGGAGGACACCGGCGACCAACCCGGACAGTCCCAAAGAGGTCAACCGACCGACACTAGCAACGGGGGGTGATCATAAATACCCCAATCTCCCTTTGTGTCCCCGCTAAGCTTAAAATTGTTGTAAACCGTCAAGACCTTAAGAATGAAGTTAGGAGATTCTTTTGCTGCTGCCCATTTATCGCTATTGTTAAGTATCAATAGAACTAAGCTAGTTTAGTTACTTCTTCCACAGATCGAACGGGCGGACATGGTGTCGATAGTACTGTCGTCCGGCGACAGCGATGGGGAGTCTAAACCCAGTTCCCCGGGTAACCGCCAGTCGACGACCACACGCATCCCACGGCTACGTCCGGGAACGGCGTACGCCAAGAGATCCTCCCGGTCATGCCCGCCGGGTAGGCGCCAGACAGGAGGCTCTGGAAGAGCGACCTCACCCTCTCCAGGGTCCAGCGCTAGGACACCACCCCGTCGGGCAGCGTCGGACTGCGCACCGGATATCGACTCAGAGGACGAGCCGGCGTCGACACCCGCTCGAGTCGCCAGGGGAGTTTCTCCCCACTATACGGACGCGGACGGACGTCGCATCTACCCAGAGCCCTATCAAGGCCACTTGAGTCCAACCGGGTCATGGATGAGCAGCCGGGAGTACAACCCTTGCGGGAGCAACGACGACGACCGGGAGCAACAGGCGCTCTATGTCGAGGACGCGAGCGACAATGAGAACGAGGATGCGTACTCCATGAGTAGCCGGGAGTACGACGATGATCCCCAGGAAGGCGCGGCCCACTATGTATACACGGGCGAGGACCGTTACTGGTACCACCGGGGTCCTGGATGTACCTCATCAAGACGAGCTGGGAAACAATCCAGATCGAAGCCCCGTATCGGCCACCCGATGATCCGATCGTGACCTCCCGCCATCCCCCGTACACCTGTACATCATGGGTCCAGATGAGACCGAGGTAGCCGAGGACCTAGGAGTCCAGATGGAACGCTCCGTCGACCTCATCTGCACGCAGGATGAAGAGATGGGACCGGAGTCGATCACCGCGCACTCTCGTGGACCGTCCACGACACTCCCCCTTGGGATATCCACCACGCAAGATGAGCCCAGTCCCCCGCGCAACTCCACGGGCAAAGCAATGGAGTGGGAGTCGGAGCCCAGCGACGACGAGGAGAACACCGAGCAGCGCTTTCGCCGGAAGGAGCCTACACCCGCACCCACATTTAGCGGACGGGGACTAGACGCGGAGATAATCGCCCACGACTCGCACCCCCCACCAACACCAACATCCATCCCATCGGATACTTCGATGGGGTTGTCGCCCATGACGCTCAACTCCTGTTGGATGAAACCTTACCGGAAATGGAGAACCGATGGTGGGAGTCGCCATCCGAGTGGGACTCGGGCGAGGTCGCCAACCCACAGCCTGAAGCGACAGCTCCGAACGAGGGTCGCCTAGCCCCCGAAAGCAGTTTCGCCCCCGGTGGCGAGCGCTTTCCGCTTCCGGCTGGGTGGACGTGCAACACAACGGACGGCCAAGTCTCGGCTGCAGCCTGGCAGACCATCTGCGCACGACGCCCTGCAGCCCGCGTCTCACGGCAGCGCTTCAGGATCCCGACCGAGGAAGGTTCCTACCAGGTCACCCTGAAGCCGAACGGCGCAGGAAACATCTCTTTTCTTCCCCGAAGTAGGGAGGGGATGTAAAGCCCTAAATCAAGGGCGCACAAATCCCATTCATTTATATTTAATTTATTGTTATCATAGTCATAGTTTTTCTATTAGCTTTAAGATCGGACATGAAGTCCAACGTTATGAATTAAATAGGAACTAAGGAAAACTTATTAAAGTAGTATTAATTCTGAGCCAAGACACGCACCTTAGACAAAGCCCCCTAACGCGTTATCGCACTCGTAAGGCCCGCAATCGATAGCACCACCGATAGCGGGGAACTGGTTCAGTGAGCGTGACGCTTGACTGAAGTGCGAACTCTGATTGCTAAGCTCGGCCTCTTCCGTTTTTGACTTTTCCCCGAGAGTGGACGCGTGTCCGAGCATCCCTCCGGCACGCCACAACCGACACACACGTGACAAGATACGCGCTGATCCGCCGGGGACTCAAGTCAGCCTTGCGTCTCCGAACCCGCGCCCGACGCCACACCTTTTCCGTTTAGTGTTTTAGGTTCTTGTCGATCTGCGCAACACCGCAATACACGTAAGCAAACATACCCATTGTTAGGGCAGCAGCCAGGGCCCACCCTTTTCTTATCAATTGCAAATAAAAACCTGAAATTAAAAAAAAACCCCGTGCGTTATTTCTACCCCTATACTCCCCTCCTCCTGCTCCTACCCTTTCTCGACCCAGATCAACGGTGCGTGTTTTGGTTTCGCATCCACGCGGCGCATCTCGGCCGAGAGCTCCCTCTTTAGAGTCCCTGTAGTCTCCGAGAATATCCGGAGTGTAGAGTCCCCGTAGTCTCCGAGAACATGCGGAGTGTAGAATCCCCGTAGTCTCCGAGAATATCCGGAGTGTAAAATCCTCGTAGACTCCGAGAATATCCGGAGTATAGAATCCCTGTAGTCTCCGAGAACATCTGAGTGTAGAATCCCCGTAGTCTCCGAGATAATCCGGAGAGTATAATCCCCGTAGTCTCCGAGAATATCCGAAGTGTAGAACCCCTCGTAGACTCCCAGTTCACCCAGAGTAGATAAGCCCCGCCGTTCACGCCCGGCGGCGTTTAATTTCAGGAGGCAGTGTCGAGCTGCAGTTTTATCCGATGTCTACCTCTCGCGCGCTCGCACTGCCGTCCGCTCTCTCTCTCCATCTCACGCTTAAGTCTCAGATCCGCTCTGGAGCTCTTAAGTTAAGTTAGGCTTAGCTAGTTCTTATTTCAAAGTGTACTAATAAACACCTATGCACGTCGCGCAAAAAACCCCAAAGTACCCCCGTGTTTTTTGCGTACCATTCGATCTTGGGGCTTCATCTATTTCAACGGTCAAGCCACCACGCCCCAACAACATAAAACCTCCTAAGCTTGGAAATAACATTTTTTTAAATTAGTTTTGAATTTTGAATTAAATTACTACTACAACCTATTAGCTTCCATAGGAACGATCGAAAAATTGGTGGAAAAATAATATGAAACAAATTATAGCTTCGGTGTTTATTGATATATTATCTTATACTATTGGAAAAACATTTTGTGTATTTTTAAGAATTACGAATTATATTTAATACAAATCGGACGACTCTAACATATAGCTGTCAAAGAATCGGTCAGAGAAATAATGAAATAATTATTATACCCTTGCATTTATTTTTATATTATTTTTATACCCTTGCAGAGGAGACGTTTCCGACCCCATAAAGTATACATATTCTTGATCAGCATCACTAGACGATTCGATCTAGCCATGTCCATCTGTCCGTCTGTCTGTCCGTTTCTACGCAAACTAGTCTCTCACTTTTCAAGCTATCGGGCTGAAACTTTCCCAAAAGTCTTATATTTTTTGCAGGTAGTATATAAGTCGGAAGCAGCCGGATCGGACAACTATATCTTATAGCTCCAATGGGAATAATCGGAAAAGAAAATGTATAAAATTATATCTTTGATGTTTTTTAACATATAACCTCCTACGATTGGAATAACATTTTTTAATTAGTTTTGAATTTTGAATTAAATTTTATCAAAATTGGAAGACTATATCATATAGCTGCCATAGAAATGATCGTAAAATTGGTGGGAAAATAATATGAAACAAATAATACCTTCAGTGTTTTTTAACATATAACCTCCTACGCTTGGAAATAACATTTTTTAATTAGTTCTGAGTTTCGAATTTAATTTTATCAAAATCGGACGACTATATCATATAGCTGCCGTAGAAACGATCGTAAAATTGGTGGGAAAATAATATGCTTCAGTGTTTTTTAACATATAACCTCCTACGCTTGGAAATAACATTTTTTAATTAGTTCTGAGTTTCGAATTTAATTTTATCAAAATCGGACGAGTATATCATATAGCTGCCATAGAAACGATCGTAAAATTGGTGGGAAAATAATATGAAACAAATAATAGCTTCAGTGTTTTTTAACATATAACCTCCTACGCTTGGAAATAACATTTTTTAATTAGTTCTGAATTTCGAATTTAATTTGATAAAAAACGGACGTCTATATCATATAACTGCCATAGGAACGATCGGAAAATTGGTGGGAAAATAATATGAAACAAATTATAGCTTCGGTGTTTCTTGACATATTATTATCTTATGCTATTGGGAATAACCTTTTTTGTAATTTTCAGAATTTTTAAATAAATTTAATAAAAATCGGACGACTATAACATATAGCTGTCAATGAAACGGTCAGAGAAATAATGAAAAATTTATTTTTAAAAAAATGTTGCTTGGTTAATTTTGACCGTATTTTCTTTTACTCTGGGTATAGAATATTTTAACTTTTCAGAATTACGAAATTAATTTTACACAAAAATCTGACGACTATAATATTTTGCTGAATGGGATAGTGTTAGGACACGAGTAACATGGATACAGGTGTCCAAATTATAGGGTAGGTTACCTTGGTATACCCGTTTTTCCTATTTTAGATTACAGAAATAACCATAACAAGGTTGCGACGAAGCTAGATAATAGGTAGTAATGCAGTTATTACGCAATCCTTAAATTAGGTAATCAACTTGGTTTACCTAATTTACCTACGAATTGTCCCTAAAATCAGGCGTTGCCCGCCGTCGAAAAGGTTATATGAAGGTTAATAGTAGGTACGATTCAAACCTATATATTGACTCGTAGTCCTAATCCCCGGATTAGTCTGTGAAAACCAGTTGCCAAGTGACAACGTATACATTGTTGTGTGTATGTTTTATACTCAATTAATATAAACACACCGAAAGTATAAAGTGCAAAGTGAATGAAAGTCCACCAAAAAGTACAAGGTGAAATGTGAATGTAAGCCCATAAAAAAATATAAGGTGAAAAGTGATTAAAAATCCACCAAAAGGTATAAAATGAAAAGTGAAAAAAGTGTGTAACAAAATAATAAAGTGTTATTATACTTTTTTCCTTTGGTAAGTATTTCTATAAAGTAAAACAGGATTCATAAATTCGTTACACATAAGTCTCTTCTGCTGAAATTCAGGTGGAACATCAATGAACATCAATAAATATTTACCAGAATCCCGACGAAAGAGATTTTGAAAATCTCTGACAAATTATAACCCCTTAACTTTTGTACAATTATTTTTTAACAGCAAAATAAAGAGAATGCCGCACATATCTTCTTTATCTCAAGAGCAGCGCCGCCAAGCTGCGCTTAGACGAAGCCGATCCCAATATGCAAATGCGTCACAAAAAAGGACCCGTAACGAGCAGTACATTGCCTTGGCCCGTACAAGTAATTTGGAGGTAGCAGAAGAAGATCGCTCGCGAAATTCCTCTGCTCGCTCTCAGAGAAGGAGAAGTGAAAGAATTCGAGCCAGCGAACGATTGAGGAACACTGACAATCGCGCTACCTGGAGACCGATCGAGGAAAATCGAGGAGCCGAGCGCGCACGGGACGCTGTAGCGCGCGCAATGGTCAGGTCGGATTCCGAGGAGCGACGACGAGAGAATTCGCGAAACACTGCTGATCATGCTACCTGGAGATCGATCAAGGAAAATAGAGGACTCGAACGTTTACGGGACGCAGCAGCTCATAGGATCACTAGGAACAACCCTATCACTAGGACACAGAAGCAAAGGACCAACACAGTGCATCATCGGAACACAAGACTTCAGCAAAGATTTCGGGAACAACAAATTCAGGAAATGGCTGACGAGCGACTTCTCACATACAGGTCGAGTTCAAAAAATCGACAGGCGGAATCTTCAAGACAGTTGTTCGTAACCAAGGTTACTCGGATCGATCTAGCATGGTTACGAACACGGGTCAAACGCACGCAACCCCCAACATGACGGAGTTGCAAGTTGTCAGCGAGCAGAACATACGACCAATGCAACTTATACGAAACAGCGACCAGGCGGACAGTAGCAGCACAATATAGTGTCTACGCTGCAAGTATGGGACAGTCGGTCACGACTCAGTGGGTCAGCAGCAACAAGCAGCATACTGCTGACATTGCAGCGTAGACGACCAGTCTACTGACCAGAAGCGAAGCTAGGTCAACACAAATGTAGGTGAACCCCCACATAAGGCGTAACATATCAGATAATATATGCACCCAAGTTCCGGGTCATGATAGTATTTAAGCTCTGATCAACAGCTCAATAAAGTCAGTTACAAATCTAAGCACT